GGTGCTTTCTCACTTCCTCTCTCTCTTTCTCTCTCTCTCTCTCTCTCTCTCTCTCTCTCTCGTGATCTCACACACCTTCTGGCAAAAATGAATAAATAAACGAACTCTCATTCTCTACATACTTAGAAACTCAAATCCTCTACACACTTAGTGCACTTCACAGAGATCTTTAGAAATTAATTAAAATGTAATTAGTATATTTCATTTCTCAGAAAACCAGACAAGATAAATTCCTGATGTAGAAAGCTTGCCTTTTCTGGGGCCGGATGATGGTGCAGTGTTCCAGTGGGATGCTCTGTGAGCAGACACACATGGAAAGGTTACCGGTTCGCATCCAGAGACCACCCTCAGTATGTCCAGAATGTGCCTGCCCATGATCAGGGCTGCTTAGGACCGGGGTCGATCACAGTGTCAAGATCCTGTTAGAGGTGGTGTCTGTCTCTCTTACTCTTGGAATAAATAAAGAAACTTTGAACAATGCCTCTTCATATTCAGCTAAACTAAAAAAATTAAAAATAAAAAAACCTGTTATTGACCAGATTTCCCCTCAAATGGCTATTTTAGGACCCAGTCTTTTTATTTTGAACAACAATCATCTAACAAAGAAGAGAGACTTTCCGTGATGTCGAAGACGTCTTGCTGCTGCTGTGTTTGAGAGGAACAAACGTGTCTTAAACGCTTCCTCAGCGGGCATCTTCAGCTGACGACATCTGCTCAGCCTAGCTATTGTGCAGCTCAAAACGCATTTATTCTCTCAGCATTCTTGAGGGACTCGGTGTGCTCCTGGATGCCAAAGACAACATCGAGATCAGCAATTTCTCATAAATCATTGGAACATGGAACATGAAACGAAGAAGAAACCAAGAATTCAATAATAAATATGGCAAGGTGCACAAACAAGAGAATTGAAACCAGATGAAAAGGAGCCTTTCGGTACAGAAGGTCAAGAAACACGTCTCCCTGCTCCCTCAAAGCCTCCGAGTAATCCCTGCAATTGTGTTCCCCATCCAGCCCTCAGCCGACTGCTCTGAGTTGGTTTTAGAATATTTATGTGGCCGGTTGGAGGCTTTCACATACAACTGAAAAATTAGGATAGTTTATTTGCGTTTGCTCAAGGCCCCAAGTCATGATGCAATGAAGGGGAAAATCGTGTTTGTTGTACTTGCCTCGAAATACATTCTAGATGCTCGTATATAAAAAGAGCTCGATTTATGCAATATGTAGATTTTTAGATGTAGTTACATGATAGGAAAGTGATATGGCTAATTTTGTTTTTAAACAGTGTCAGGCTTTCTCAGGGGCCATCTTAAAATCTACGGCAGGCAAGCTGATGTTACCATGTTAAAAAAAATGCTGATGTTACCATGTTACGATGATCTCTCTGACTCTTGAAAAGCTGCAGTCCATTCATTAAAAAAATATCCTCCATGGTGACGAGTCATCATTTGTAAGTGGGCCTGGAATTCCAAATGCATAGTTGTTTAAAGACAAGTATGGTAAATGGCATAGGCGAGATGTGTTGTTGTTCACGACAATGTGGAATAATTCATAATGAAAGTGATTTTGAAAGAATTTCCAAGGTAAACTTACAGACTATGACCAGTGTTTTGCTACGCCATTATTCAATATATGAACTGAATATTGGAATTTTGGGGGCACTTTGTTTTTGTCTTATAAAGAAGAGTCTCACTTTAATGTTTTATTTTATTTTACTTTTTATTTTTTAAAATTTGCTATAGGGTACAGTTTATGGATATACCATAATTTTCTATATTAATCCCAATGGCTTAGATATTTAGATTGTTTCTAAATTGTTGCTGTTATAAATAATGCGACAACTTTGTTCATTCTGTTTCCTTAGAACAGTTGGAGTTTCTGGCTAAATCCATAGGGTGGGCTCATTTTTTATCCTTTTTGTCTAACTGCCCAGGCATGTGGGCTCAACAGAGAAACAGGGAGTGGGAGGGAGGAAAAAGCACCCCCAATGGGGCATGGTCATCCCACAATCTCTTCTCCATTTCTCCATCCTGTTGAGATCTAGGGTACACACACATATACGCCAGCAGTTTCTCAAGCTACTGGGGCTGGAATTCAAGCCACCTTGGTGGCCATGGGGAATTCAACTCCTTTAAGCACCAGACCACAGGGCCAGCTCCAAATTATTTATGGAACTATCATCTTTGTCTTTAATTTCAATTCTGTTTCCTGTCTTGTGTCCACTCCTTGCTCCTTACATACTGCTGCATACCCTCTCTCCAGGAAGGTAAACACTCAACCTCAGGAATTTCCTTCCGGCTTGCTGTCACTACAGTTCTTAGAAGCTGCCGGTCTCTGCAACACAGAGATCCTTTCTTCCTTGAAGCCAGATGAAACAAGAATAGAAAAGAAAGCCTACAGTGAAGGCAGAAGGGATGAAACAAGCACAAACACAGGCAGTTAGAAAGAATTTACATGGCAGGGCATGATTTTAACGTAGGGACAGTGTAAGGGGAAGTCATTCATACGTTGTAACAAAAACATTCAAGAGAGACCAGCAGGTGGTGTGGTGGTTAAGGCGCTGGACACTCCCACATGGCTGATCATGGTTCGAGTACTGGACCTAGTGGCTTGCTTTCTCACTTCCTCTCTTTCTCTCTCTGTCTCTCTCTAGTCAAATTTAAATAAATGAATGAATAAATAAAATTAAATAAATTAATTAATTTAATTAAAATTAAATAAAATTAAATAAATGTTTTTTTTAAAAAAAACATTCAAGAGACAGTAAGTGTAGTCAAGACAAGGGATGCTCAATACATTGGACATGGCCATTTGCATTAGAAATAAGATCTAAGACTGGGACCAGCAGTTGGCATAATGGCTAAGTCACAGGAGTCCCATGTGGTTGACCAGAGTTTGAGTCCTGGACCCAGTGGCTTAAACTCATGCCGGGCCCGTGTGCCCAAGATCCCGAGAGGAAAGTGGAGGAGAAGGGATTGTGGCATGGCCATCCCCCCCGGGAGGTGATTTCTTGCTTTCTGTCTCTCTTTCTCTCTCTATCTTTCTGGCAAGTGCACGTGCCCTATAACAAAAACCTCTCCAAAAAAAAAAAAAAAAAAAGAAGAAGATCTAGGACTACACGAATCTTGCTTCTTCACATGCAATGTACATCTAATAGAGTGCAGATGACTCTGGGAACTCCTATCACCCCAGAGAAGAAAACCTGGGGGAGAACAGGGGTGTGAAAAGAGTCTTTCCACGTTCAGTCCTTTTGTCCTATTTGAATTTTGCACTATATGAATGTATTGTCTACTCAAAATCAGATAAAAGTGTTAACACTTTCCACACTAAGTGCACATTTTGTATTCCGCCCTAACTTACATAATGATGCTTCTCTTTTTAAAACACATTTCCTTTCCCTAAACATTTTTATTAGCATACATACTAAAGAACCCCTGAGACTGAAAGGTATTCTTTTGACAAAATGGTTCATTTAAATTTCAATTTTCTATAAAATAAATATGACAAAATTCTGTCACATAAAATCCTTCCAGGTTATCTTCATTTTCATTTTACATTGGATAAAACTAAGGGTTTGGGAGGGAAGGGGTGACAACTGCTTCCAGGTTTCATAGAATCAGTGGCAGGGTTGGGAGGGGGAAAAAAAACAACAACAACAACTCTTTAGGCTTTCCTTTCTTTTTCTTTCTCTTATTTTATTTATTTATTTTTTTTTCAAAAGAAGGAAGTTCATTGCATCTGGGCCACCCACAGCTATAACTTCTAAAAACATTTTGGCCTTTTTTTTTTTCCCTAGGTGCTTTAATAAATGCAACCCCAGACGATTCACTTGGAGAAGCGGGCTTAGCAGCAAGGAAAGCAAACACTATGAAAACAACATCTCTGCCCGAACCTCCTGTCTTTTATCTCTATTCCCCTCGCGCCTGGCGTGGCACAGAAACACACCGGCCTCCACGGGGGGTTGAGCAGAGAGCCATCCAAGCATCACAGAGCTCGTCCAGAATTCCGATGACTTCCATTCCCTGACTCGCTCTGCTGGCGGTTCAGAGCTCATGACGTCCCGCAGGACGCAAACTCGCAGTGTGCTCGGAAACGCCAGTCCCTTCCAGCCCCCAGCACGAGCCTCACGTGGCAGGACAGGCCTCCCTCCTTCTGGGAGCAGGAATCGCAAGTTCTGCATCTGCCTCGAAGCTGAGTTCTGTTCTGTCGTAACTCTCACTTTGTTCTAGGCCAAGGTTCAGTGTCTACTTCGTTTGTTTAATTTCTTTTTTAATTTTTTAGAGAAGTTTTTACTACTGAGTGTGTGCTCACTAGAGAGACAGAGAGAAGTCACCCCCTAGGGGAACAGCGGCACCGCAATCCCTCCCTTCTCCATTCTCCTCCCGGGATCTTGGGCATGCGTGCACAGGTGTCCGGCGGCGTGTTAACCTGACTCAGAGGTGGTCAACTACCTGGGAGTCCAGCAATGTATCCATTACGCCATCTGCTGGTCCCTCGTCTGTTTAATATCTTAAATTCTTAATTTCTAAATAATAGCAAACACAGGAGGGAAGGGAGGTGGGTAAAGAACCAATGGATCTGGACACTTGCTTTTGTTTTTTGTTTGTTTGTTTTTCATTTTTGGCCTTAGGGCATGTGCACTGGCTGAAAAAGAGGAAGTGAGAATTCCCCCCCAAGGGAGTGATGGCTACGCTACAATTCCTTCGTCCCCAGTCTCCTCCCGGGATTTTGGACACGCACGCACATGTGCCTGGTGCGATTTTTAAGCCACCAGCTCGAGGACGCTAATAGTGTCAGCCCTGTGGAAATCGGGCTGCCTTACTCACCACGCCACCTGCTGGCCCTTGGACACCTGCTTTCAGAGGAGAGAAGACTGAAGCTGGAGGCCGAGACCTCAGTTCCTGGATCTTCAAATCTCAGACACAAGGACCCTCTCTGGAGCCTACCCTGTGAAAGAGCTCAGACGTAGGAAAAAACATGTGTGATAAGATTAGCTGGTTTTTGTGCTCACTTTGACAGCACATACACTATTGGAGTAACAGAGAGAAGGTCAGCAGGGCCCCCGCACAAGGATGACATGCAAATTTGCAGAGCATTCCATATTTTTAAATAATTAATAATGTGCTTTTACGTTGTCGAGGTTATTTTAAAATTCTTTCACCTAAAAATTTAATTACTAAAATAATCTTTTATATCGAAAAATAAAGAAAAAAGAAAAAAAGACTGATTGGGACCAGCAGATGGAGCAGTGCAGTACATCGCTGGACCCCTACAAGGCCAACTGCAGTTTGAGCCCTGGACCCAGTGGTTTGAAACTCATGCTGGGTGTGTGCCTCAGTGCCCAGAATCCTGGGAGGGGAATGGATGAGAAGGAATTGCGGTGTGACCATCCCTCCCTCCGGGAGCGGTTTCTCACTCTTCCTCCCACTATCTGTCTTTTTCTCTCTACGGCAAGCATGTGTGCCCTAAGGCAAAAACCTCTACATTAAAAAAAAGAATCATTTTCAATGGGGTGGTGTGGGATCCCTACATTCTTCTTTGCAATTTTTTATACTTTTCTCATTCCTGCCTATAAGCTCACCACTTAGGTCTATAGCTTGAATAGTTATATTATCTCACTTCAAAAAAAAAAAAAATCTTGGGAACCAGCAGTTAGCGTAATGGCTATGTCGCTGGACTCCCACGTAGTCGACCGCAGTTCGCGTCCCGGACCCGGTGGCTTAAAACTCACGCCGGGCGCGTGCGTGCGTGCCCAAGATCCTGAGAGGACAATGGAGGAGAGGGGATTGTGGCGTGACCGTCCCCCCTGGGGGGGGATTTCTTGCTTTCTGTCTCTATGTCTCTGTCTGTCTGGCGAGTGCCCGTGCCCTATAGCAAAAATTTCTCCAAAAAAAAAAAAAAAAACCTTTACACTGGAGACAAGTTCTTAGATCTAATGAAAAGGTAAAATGAGATGATAATTTTGCAGTGCCCGTCATGTTACTGTCGCTCGTAAACACGCTTCCTCACTGCTGTTCTCTTCGTCCTCCTTTGCTGTCATCACAGGGTCCGTGGTTTGAATTAGGGCCATTTGGGATGGTTACGTCTATCAGAGAAGACCTGGCCCCAGCAGCGGCTTTTAATCTTCACGTACTTCTGAATCCGACTGTTTGGTGAACACAGACTGCTGACCGCCACACAGCTGTCAGAATAACCACCATCCAGGACACCAAATGCTGATAAGGGTGTGGAGCAACAGGGCCTTTCGCTCATGCTTGGTGGGAATGCACAACGACACATGGGGAGATGTTGGACTGTTTCTCACAAGACCAGACGCTCTCTCCTTTGTGTTTACCTGAAGGAGCTGAATGTCCACACAAACACCTGCACACTGATGTTTATAGAAGTTCTATTCCTAACGATCAAAACTTGTAAGCAAGTAAGATGACCTTCAGCAGGTGAGTGAAAAACGGCAATACCTCCAGACAATGGGTATCAATTCCATTTCCACTGAAAGGAGCTAGGAAGCCATGAACAGGCAGGGACAGATCCTGAGCACACACTACCAAGTGCAGGATGCCGGGCGGAAAAGGCCGCGTAGTGTATGATTCCGACTCTAGCATTCTGGAGAAGGCAGTACTTTTTTTTTTTTTCTTGTTTTTGCTTTTGTTTTTGTTTGCAAAAAGAACAGATCACATTTATTAAATAATTCCCTGAGAAACTTTAGATATGAGGCCCAGTTTTACAAAAAGTTTGGAGTAAAAGTAAAATGTTTTATTTTCTCTCTGTGTTTAATCACAAGATACTAAAAGTTACCAAATTCATAGTCTTTAGGTCAACAATATGGAATTGAGTCTCGAATCAGATGCAATATTCACATGCTGATTACTAGTGGCCTGAGAAGGCAGTGCTTTGGACTCAATAGAAAAGTCAGCCGTTCCCAGGGCTTCCGGAGCAGGCCAGATGAGCAGGCAAGACGCAGAGGACCCTGAGGCAATGAAACCCTTCTGCATGGTGCGTTAACGGTGGATCCATGCCTTCGTCCAGACTCATGGACTGCACAAGCCTATGTAAACTACAGGCTTCGCTAATAAAGAGGTCTCCGAGCAGGCTCATCAATGCGGCCAACGTAGCACTCGGGTGGGACGTCCGTGAAGGGGAGGCCGTGCATGTGTGGGAGCAGGAGGTACAGAAAACCTCTGTACCTTCTATTCAGTCTTATTGCAAACGTAAAATTTCTCTTAAAATAGTCTTTTAAATTGTAAACTTATTTATGGAAAGAAAAAAAACAAACAGATGGCTAGGTCTCACTCTCTCGGAGCTCTGAGTACAGGAAGCCCAGGGTGGGGCCTGAGAGTTTGCATTTTTGCAAGTTCCCAGGGAGCACTCATGACGCTGAGCAGAGCACGCACCGGGAGCTCTGGGGTGCACGGTGAAGATCCATTTCGAGGCATTTACAAAACCAGATGTCCGGTCTCTTCTCTCTCATCTATCTTTCCTCCCTCTACTTTTCCCTCACTTCTCACTCCCCCTTTTTCCCTTTTTATTTGGGGGACATAGAAACCACCAAACTCTGTCTTTGTCTTTCTATACTTATTGTCAACAGCTCAAGTCTCTCCTTATGTCAAAGAACCAGGACAGAGCCATGGTGTTGTTTGGTGTTAAGTATCTTGTTTCACTCAGATACCAAGAGAAAGAGGACAGGCCTTCTCTGGGTTGTTCACTAATCCAAACTGGTAATGTCTGTTCATAACAGAAAGTCCGTCTTTTTGATGCCTGATGCTTTTTTTTTTTTTAATGGAAACTCTATAGGCTTCCTGGTGCCGGGGAATATTTTTGACATGTGGGGTTTGTTTAATCTTTTATTAATATAAATATTTGAAAAATAGAATGGGTAGGAAAATGGCTAAAGGAAATATTTCAGGTCAGTGCTTGGAAAGGCAGGCCAAGTTCAGCCTGCAGTCTGGAAAAGCCTCCCCTGTCTTCATAAACACTTAGCATAGAAGTTCTTTTCTTGGGGCCCATGAACCCCCTGAAATGGAACGAAATAAAATATAAAATAAAATAAGGCGTGATCAATACAGGCCCCACTAAAGTGGAAAGAGTCTTTGGAGCCAGTGTGAAGGAGCTGAAGTTCTCCTTCAAGTGTGAGTGCACACACAATCATTTTTGACTGTGTGGGGGAAGACCTAAAATTTAGCTCCATAATCTGTTCATATAGTGAACAACAGAAGTGGGTGAACGGAGCAACTCAGTTAGGGGTGGCTAGGGAAGGTGCCTCAGTGAGCCCAGGGAGGACTACAAGGCTTAATTGCTGTAAATTGGTATTTAAAGGGTCCATGTATGGCTTTGCAGTGCTTAAGCTGATATAATCTTCTCAGCTGGTCATGGGAGAGGGGGCTGGTGGTATCTTTACCTATCTGTCTCCATATTCTGGTGTCTGCAAAGACTCAGCAAGGTTATTGTTAATTTTCATTATATATATTTTTAATGTATTTTTTAAGAATTGTTTTTTATTTAACTTTGTTTATTTATTTATTTATTTATTTTAATTTGAACAGAGAGAGAGAGAGAGAAAGAAAGTGAGGAAGCAAGCTACCAGCTAGGCCCAGGACTTAAACCGTGGTCGGCCATGTGGGAGTCCAGTGCCCTTTACCACCACGCCACCTGCCGACCCAAAGTTCTTATTAACTGTCCTTAGTTAAGCATTGAGCTGAATCCATTATGGGGCAATAAAAGGTTAGGCTCTATACGTTCATTGGGCGGAAGCGAAAGAGAAGTCAAAGACTGAAAAAAGAAAGAGAAGTCAAAGACTGGTTCTCCTAAAGCTTCATCTGCTAAGCTGGGCTTCAAAGGCTAAGCAGGACATGGAGTCACAGTGTTCTCTCATGGCTTGGGTACAAGATATCCCGGGGATGGGAGCAGATCTACCAGATCAGAACTCATTTATGTCTCATTCACCCGTCATACGCATAGTCAGAAGGTAATTCTGTTACCGATTTTTTTCCGAAGGTAGTTTTATCTACCAGGTTTGTACCCCAGCATTTTGACTACAGCCTATCACATGAGGTCGGGGGTGGAATAGTTCTCTTGTGGTGTCACGGTGCTCAAAACATTTCAGATTTGGAGGCATTTTGGATTTCGGATTAGGGATGCTCCAAGGGTCCCCACCTCTGTGGGATGAATCGAAAAATAGTTCTTGCAAGGCGGCCAACTTCCCCTGCAGGATAAGGCTCTCCTGTCCAGAAGGTGACCTGTGTGCCAGGCAATCCCAGTAGGTTACAGTGAAACCCCCAGTCACAAAAACACAGTTGTCTATTTATTTATTTAAAATTAAAACTCCACCTCAGAGCAGAAAAGGCTGTGGCAATCAGACCCAGGTTGGAGTCGCAACCTGGCAGGCAGGAAGGATGTTGGTGTCCAGAGAGCTCGGGTCCTGGGCGTGGGGACTGGGGATGGGAAGGAAGCTCATGGCAGGAGAACGTGGCCCTGAACGTTGTGGTGCGCGAGTGTTGGCCAGGCTGTCTGTCCCCAGAACAGAAGTAACCGTCAGAAAATCAGGAACATCCTCAAAGCCAGCCCAGCTGGGTGAGGACGCACGATTCTGCGATTCCATCCTCAAAGCCAGCCCAGCTGGGTGAGGACACATGATTCTTTGATTTGAGGTGGACTGGGGTATTTGAAACCCCTTCAGCAAGCAGAATTGGCATTCCGTTTGCTTCTCCCTCCTGCTGTGTCTACTTCGCTTTGTTTTCTCCAGCACGAATCTTTTCTTCTTTCTCAGTTCCTCCCCTTCCACGCCCATGGAGGAACCTGACTCGGGAGGAGGAAGGCTTGTGAAGCGATGATTCTGGCTGTCTCACACATCAGTTGTCCTTTGCTTTCCACTTCCTCTGACTGGGGCCCTCTGCCTCCCGCCTGGCTCTATCCAGAGGTGAGAGGGCCATCGTTGAGCCTTAGACACCAACTATTAATAAAACATGGGTGACTCCACAGCATAGGATCAATAAAAGCGTTTTCTACATAAAAGATTTTCATTTGGGTGGTATACTTATCTTTTTTTTTTCTTTTTGAGAGATTTTTTGCTATGGAGCACGTGTGCTCACTGCACAGACAGAGAGATAGAAA